TAAAATAAACTTACTGAAGAGCCTGTCAAATTGAAAATTAAATAGATTTAAACTCAAGATCTAAGAATTAAGAATTGCTGTTGTTGTACATGCAATAAATCTTAAACTAGTCAAACTTATAAATATTGATTCTTTAACATATTTGATTCAATATGTTAATGAATTTGCTGTAAATTGAATTAAATTCAACATTTAATGGATATAAATTTATGATGACAAATTTAATAATTCTGTATTGGAAATTCTATGAGCAAATTATAAATGATCTTTTTTACAAAATACATTAATATTTATAATACCAAATTATATATATATATCATTAAGGGAATTTTCTCTTCAAATATATCTCCAATTCTTTTATTTATATAGGTTTGATCATATAAAAGTCCATTCCTGAATTTAATGCTTTCTATTTACTTTCTAAATCAGCATAACCAGTATTAGCTATACAGATTCCTTTTGGAATTTAATTATCATGCATCATCTTTTTTAAATTCTTGACTGTGTCAAAACCATCCATTATAGGCATATTAAGATCTAAAAAGAATACAACATAGCCATTATTTTAGCATTATCTACAAGGTTCTTTCATTTTTTAAAGGCTTTTTTTAATGGCTTCTTGTCCATTGAAAGTAAAATCACAATGAGCATTGAATCTATGTAGAATTAATTGTAGACTTTGAATATTAAAATATTCATCATCTACAATTAGAACTCTACTACAACAATTACTTCCAATACTAAATTTAACTATTTCTGATTTAAAACTAGTCTATAAAGAAGGAATCATAATTTTAGATTCTTCTTATCTTGATTCAATTTCATCTTCTTCATATTATAATTTTGGAGTCTATCCCAAAAAAGATTTAGAATCTGCTGATTAAAGGCATCTAACTCTGTTTTTAAATAAACTTTTTTCTCTCCATGTATCTCCATTTTCATCTTTGTTTTCACTAAAATATCCTCTATGAGATCCTTCAGATATTGGCTATTATTCTAAGTAATATGTTTAATTTAACACTTTCACATAAGTTTGACTGGCCACATAAACACTATCATTATAAAGTTATTAAGAATTAGATATTGTAAAGAAAAATTCACTACCCTTTTATTATTCGCTAGTAAATTGAATTCCATGTTTCCCATTCATTTTCAATACAATGGCATTAGATATACTTAAACCTAATCCACATCCAACAGAATTATGAGAAATTCTCAATAAATTTTTATTATCTTTTAATAATTAATGTAATTTCTATTATTCAGCTTGATTCATTCCAATTCCATTATCTTATACTCTAACCTTAAGTTTATCCTTATAAATAGTAATTGAGATAATAATAATACCATTTTCAGTAAATCTTATGGAATTACTCATTAATTGATATAGTACTTATTTAAATCTATCTTGATCATTATAAACTAGAAGATGTTAAGGACAATTTACAATAATTTAATTATTTCTTTGTGTTTTTTATTGATTCAGTAAATATAAAATTTCTTAAATAATATCATAGGGATTGAATTCTTAAAGTCTTAAAGCAAATTATTTCAATAATATAGTATTAAAATCTCTTACACTTTAAAGTACATAAAAGAGTAATTTAGAATTGATATAAGCTGGTTCAATGTAAGTAGCTTTGACTTATTCATTTATTAATTCACTATCCATAGCTTCAGATGATACAGTCAATATACAATTGAGAAATGTTCCAAATTCATGAGAAATAGATTAAAATATACTACCTAAAATTTCACTTGATAAAGATTCATAAGTTTATTTAGAATGATTAGAATTATTATAATGATTATTAGTATTATTTAGTTTAAAATTGTCTGGGAATGAATAAACAGATTTGCTATTTGATTTCATTTAAGGTTCAAATTGTATTATAAAGTAATCAATAAAGTTATCACTCAATACAAAAAAGTTTAACTTTACATTTACTAGATTTTTATTATCTAATTCAGCAACACTAAAATATGTATAATATGAATTGATATCAGAAAGTATTTATGATAAAATAGTTCTAATATCAGGTTTATTAAATGGTAATTTAAATGGAGATGAAATCAAATGTGTATTATTTTCAGATAATAATTTAATTAGATTTAAAGAAAGAGCATCGCATCGTACATCTAAGAAATTTTCTATTGCTTCTTCTTTATCATGTTCCATTAATAAAAATAGATCAGATTGATTGTGGACACATTTAAAATGATCGTTTAGCACTATGAATTTTTAATCTGTCATCCAAGGCCTCATTTACTGATCACTCATACATTAATTTAAGAATTTGTAATTTGGCACTCAAAGTCATTTCTTATTGTACATCTTTATTTTATTTTGTATTATTTGTTTTTCTCTTATTTCGATTTATAAAGTATAAAAATACAAGTAACATAAAGCATTTCCCTAATATTATCATCAATTTCCACACTTCTACATAATTTTATAATATTTAAGAAATCATTCCACAATATAAAACCAGCATACTTTAATAATAAAACATTTTTGTGTCATATAAGAGTTCAAATTATATCAATATGAGCACCTAAAAATTTAAAAACTATTTTACATATAAATAAGCTAAATCTTAATTCTATCCATACAATAATCCCATAACTACTCCATCATTACCTACTCCTAAAATCCATAGCATTTTGTAATCTGAATATTTTATCAGTGCCAGCTTAAAAATTATCCCAACATAATGTAATAAAATTGGAATCCAAAGTAAACTATGATTATTATTAAGAATTGTCCAAATCAACTCAAAAGATATAAATGCCTCAAAATATAAGAAACAAGCAAAGTTAATTCTAAACATATTTTGAATAATGAATAATTAAAATTATTTTCTTACTGATTATATAATTTTGATTTAAATTGTTGCCAAAAATTCTAAATTTATCCTCTTAATACTCAATTTAGTTTCAGAAATATCAATTAAAATTTATATTTTGACATACTTTTTAAAATAATCTTATATTTTTAATTTTTTACTCAAGAAAATAATTTTAATAAAAAATTAATCAATAAATTATTAAAAAAACTAAACATTATTAAATTTTTTTATGATTAAATAAATATATATACTATAAGAAAATAATTCTAATATAATCTTATTACTATATATATATTGATAAATAATAGTATGAATTAATAAAAGTAAGATATTCTTAACATTTTATATTATAAAGAATGCATATGGAATTTAAAATATCTTTTATCATTACGTCAATCAAATACATGTTTGATGTATTAAAAATTTAATGGAATTTTTATTAGATATTATTTAGATATTATTTGAAGATAACGGCATGAAACACTATCATATGAGTATATGAGATTTTAATTAATTTATTTATTGTTATATTATCAAATAAGAAATGCTTCGTTTATCATTCAAGCAATAAAAACGTTAATCTTTCTAATAGAAAATGAAAATCTGTGAATTATTATTAGAGCGTGGTCTAAAATTCTTTGAATTAGGTAAATAATTATGTACAATAATAAATTAGAACAATTTGGAAATGCAATAGATTAATTTGAGATTTGTATGTCCGTTTTTGCTGATGCTAAAACTCCAAAGAAATGGGAGGAAACTACCTATGAAGAGTTAACACAATAAAAATATCCTGAACAATAATAGATAGAAAGTATATAAATTAATTTAAAGAATTAAGGACTTCATCTCAAATTATTTGAAAAAATGGCAGAATGCTATTATAGACTACATGAATAAGGTGCATGTACAAAGATGTGTGATTATTGGTTATAAATGAGTCCCTAATGTATAAATGCTATAATTTTACGTGCAAAAGTATGTATCAGAAATAGCAATAGTCCCGTTTTTTATCAGACAATATTACACAAATTGATTGTCAAATGGCATTTAAGGATCTTAAATTTGCATAACAACTTGATCCTCATAATACAGCAATAGCAAAGTTTTATGAGAAGGTGAAAGCATAATTATTAGCATATAAAGAGTTGGAATATTAGAATTATACAGATTTATAAAGAAAACAATTAGAATTAATTAATCAATATAGAAAGTAAGAGGATGATGATGATGATGATGATGATGAGGATGCTTAAAAAGATTTTATGACTCATTTGGCTTATTAAGATTATGATTAAGAATTGAGTTATGAATTGGATAACAAGAAACCAATACCAATAGAAGTATCAGAATTAGGAAGATTCATAGAGACAAGAGGGATGGAGATGGTGAAAATATATTAATAGAATGGATAATTGAAAGAGGCAGAAGATTTAAGAGAGAAATTGAAAAAAGCAATAGCAGCTAAGAAATAATTAGAAAAGATATCTTAATTGGATTTCAATAGACCTAAGAAAGTATGTATTAAATTATTGAGCAGTAGAAATTAAATGAATTTGCATAAAAATATGGTATAAATTTACTGGATCCTCAAGTGCAAAATGAGTTTAAAAGAATTCAAGAGTAGAATTTGGAAGATATTAGATAATGGTTAAAATAAAACTAATGGAATTATATTGATAAGGCTACTTAGATGTAAGAATAAGAATTGGCTAGATAAGAATTAGCTAAATTGTAATTTAAAAGGAAAACTATTCCTTAGAAAGTAATATTATATAATTTATTATAATAGCATAATAAGAATAAATTTAATAAGAGAGTTTAACCATTGATAAACAATACTTAGGTTAATGGTTCAATGCCAGTTACTATAAATAATAACATCACTTATAATTAGACTTTTAATTAATGCAATAATGTTATAAATAATTCAAGTATGATAAGAATTATTATTAATTTTTAGCAAATGAATAAAGTGATGAACAATTAACAGATTGCAATTGCTTTATTAATCTAATCATACTACTCTTAGCCATATTTGCCATATTAGCAGCCATTTATTATTCATTCATTAAATGAATTAAAATATATTTAAATAAATAATTTGCTTAAACACACAAACATTCATTTACAATTAATTATATATTTATAATGAGAACTAAAAGTCATAATAAGGCCAAGTCTTTACATACAGTTCAAGAAGTTTCAAATACTAAGACATTCTTTATCAGTCGAATCACCTAAAGATCTTTTATTAAGAGTATCGTTCCTCCTTTGTCTCTTCCTTAAGTTCCTTAGATTTAAGTCCCAGCTCCTCTTACTGGAAGAGTTGTAGCAAGAAAAGTGATTAAGGCAACTTAATTAAAAACTTAAGAGAGTGTTCCTGATAGTGAGATTAAACAATAGCAATCAATTTTCAAATTAGTTGCATCTGCTGAATTTAAAAATATCATTACAGAAGAGAAGTCTAAGAAAGAGGATGATAAAAATTTTACTTTGGATGGTCCCTTAGAGTTCAAAAAAGATTGGAGAAGTAAAATCTTTACAAAGAATCCTAATATGGAAAACTCTTATAGTTAAATTGATGATAATATGAACATCTAAATGTTTATGAAAAAGATCAGATAAATTATTACTACTAGTCATATACAACATAATGACTTTCATACAAATGAAAATAGTTTTTTGTCAGATAAGTTCAAGACTTAGATGACAAGTCCTAGATTTACATTTACTAATCATTTATCAACAATCTAATTTTAGAATTAACCAACCTAATTGTAAAAGGCAGGAACAATTGTATCTCAAGTATTAGAAGCTATTGAAGAGAAAAAAGCAGAAATTCAACCAATACCATAGAATAATCGTAGAAAATTAACTATTTCTGTATTTAATCCAGAAAATTAAGTTGGAGTATTCTCTTTCAGTATACCAGATTATGGATAACGATTATAAGAATAAGATGAAATTTAAGAATATACTGATAAACCTAAACATGTATTAAAGTAAGCATTACAATTTGTAAGTAAATATAAATTTATTGTAGATCTCTTCATAACCTAAGAAAATGACAACAAAATTTTCAAAATCTATACTTAAGATTGTTGGAATAACTGAAGAAGAGAATTAACAAGAAGATGTTCATTAATATTATAATATATAAAAAGTAATTATTTTATGAAGTAAGACTAGAAGGTTCATGAAGATGTATTTGCAAAATAAGATGTCTCGCACATTCACTAAATTAGAAGAGAATATCCTATTACATTTATAATTAATATAAGAGAAAAGAGGTTCTATATCTTTTTCAAAACCATATGAAAGTTAATAATCTAGTAGAGTTTATTCTTGGTGTACAAATCCTGCTAATAGTAATCATGAATCCTTATCAAATCCAACATTCTAAATTGAAATAGAATCTAATCGTTTTCTATTAACTTAAATTTATTAATGTGATTATTCATTTGATAATTCTGAATAAGATTGTCAAAGTTTTAGTAGTGAAAATCAATTTTCAGATATGTTAGAATGTTCATCTTAAATTAAAATTACTAATTTAACTAATCATATATAGTTTATAATAAATAGTTTAGATTGTGTAGATAGAAATATGATGTTACATGATCCTGATTTTCTTAATGATAATAAAATTGGTCATGATTAAATTAATCCTGCTCTTGATGGATAAATAATTAGAAATATTAATTCTTTAGTAAGATTTCTTAAAAAAAAAGATTAAAGTAGAGTTTCAAAATTTATGTTTCTTTAATTTAATGATATATTAACTGGAGAATTTGAAGATCTCCATGAAATCAATAATTTAACTACTGATTATGGTTTAATTGAAGTAGAATCTGAAGATTAACATTAACCAAGACAATCTACTATTAAAATTGATATTGCTAAAATGTTTATTAAAGCTGCTAAACCAATTTAAAAAAAGAAATCTAATTAAGATTAATCTCCATCTAGTGAAAGATCAAATAAAAAGAATAATTCTAAAATTATATCATCTCCTAGACATCAAACTGTAATACAACCTAATAAACCTGTTAAATAATTATTAGAAGCTACTTCCAGTTAAACAAGTGTTTTAAGAAGAAGAAGTGATTCTCCACAAGAAGAAAATAGTATAAAAGAAAATAGTAATACTAATACTACTTAATCTAATAAAATGAAAGCTACTACTTAAACAATTTAAAATACTACAGCTCCAATCTCATAAAAAGAAGATCTAATTAAACCTAATGCTACTAAGAGTTAAGAAAGAAGAAATGCTGTTATGATATCTTCAATGAGTAAACACTCCTTATAAATGAGAACTCAAATTACTGAAGCTCGTAGAAGATAATCTATACCTGTTATGGAAATGGTTAAATTATTGATAGAGGAACAAAAGTTATCTGAAGTATAATATATAATTAAATGAATAGTTAGAAGAAGTTTTTGCCAATAATCCAAATTTGCCAATAAATGAAAAATTAAAAGATGGAAATACATTTTTAATAGTTGCTGCCCAAACTGGAAATGTAGAAATAGTTGAATTACTTTTACACAAAGGAGCCTTTGTAAATGTATAAAATGTAATTATAATCTATTTATATTTTAAGAATTATGGTGATACAGCTTTACATAAAGCTATTGCATACAATTATTTCAATATTGCTGACATCTTGATTTCTTAGGGAGCTTAAAACTTGAGAAATGATGATGGTTTGACTCCTTGGCAATTTGTGTAATGATTAATATTTTCTATATATTTATTTTATTACTAAATTAAATATGGGTAAATTGAATAAAGAATAAAGACTTGAAAAATAATTGGCTAAAAAAATAGAGAAATAAGATGTTTATTAATAAGTTAAATTGTAAGAGAATTAAGAAGATGATTTTAATGTTGCTAATCTGATTTAAACACTTGAAGACTAAGGATAATAAATAGATAGTGTTAAAACTCAATACTTAAGAGTACAAGAAAAAGCAGTAAATCTTATTAATTAAATTTAGAGGATTGTTTAAGAACCAGAAACATAAGCAGAAAGAGATTAATAAGAACGTAAAGTAGCAGCAACTGTAATGAAATAAGATATAAAAAAATGGTTACCTATTGTTAAGAAAAATAGAGAATCTGAGAGAATTGATTTTACTAAATAAAGGAATGTTTAGATATCTAAAATGTAAAATATAAAAATTTAAATTAGTTCTGATACATCAAATGCTTTATTAAATAATCATTTAGGTGTTAAATTATAGAATGCTATGGAAGAAGTTGAGAAAGTTGAATAAAAACAAGAATTAAATGGATAATCAAATCAATAAAAGAGTAATCTTTAATTTTATAATGATCTTAAAATGAAGAAAATTTCATCAATTAAATCTAAAATATATAAATAAATAAAGAAAAAGAAAGGTAATAAAGAGAAATTGAAATTAATGGCTTAATTAACACCTGCTGAAAGAAGAAAAGAAATTGACAAATTAAGATTATCAAGAGCAAAAGAAAGAATAACACTTAGACATTCAACTAAAAATAAATTTGTCTCTTAACTTTTAAGATTTGGAGGAGATAAGAAATCTCTAAAATAACAATAATCATTCTTAAATAATATTAAACATTAATTATTAGCAAAAGCATAACTTAATGAATTAGAAGATGGTGAATTTGATGAAGAAAACTTTAGAGAATAAGCAATAACATAATTGGAATAAGAATTATAAGATATTGAAAGAAGAGAGAAAGAGAAATAAAATAATTTTGGATTCTTAGATAAATAAAAGAAATAAGATTTATAATAATCTAAATCAATAGCATAGAAATTATTAACAATGCTTAAATCAGGAAATGATGATGCTATATAATTAGATGAATCAGATAATCAAGAATAGAATAGTGATGATAATTATGAACCAAATTTGAATGGTGATAAAGATAAATCTAATATAAATATTGAAAATAATGAGTTTAATGGAAGAGCTAATTTTGTTAATGAAACTAAATAATTAACTGAAACTTAGAAAAAGAGAATTGATGCTAAGACTTCTTTATCTAATTATTTAAATTAAGAACCTGAAAAACTCTAATAATAGAATAAATAAGAAAAATAATTAACTATTTAAGATGAAAAGAAATAATTGATTGAAGGATTAAATATAAAAAATATTAAATAAAAGTATGAAAAATAAGTGAATTAAAAATTAACTAATTAAGATTTAAAGAAATTATAATCAGATCCAGATGAATTATTATAATAGAATTTAGCTAATTTTAATTTAGTTTTAGATGAGGATGAAGTATAAATAAATATATAATTAGAATGAAAATGCATTTATAGATGAGAAAATAAAAGACATGGAAGAAGAATTACCTCCTGAACCAGCAAATACAAAAGGATGGGGATCTTGGGCTGGATTTGGTATCAAAGAGAAAAAACCTTTAACTTAAGAATAGATTTTATAGAATAAAATAAAGAAAATTAGAGAAATCTAGAAGAAGAGATAAGATGCAAAATTAGATAATGTGATTATAAGTGAGAAAAGAGATGTTAAGGTATATATCATTATAAGATTTATTTTAGTTTGCTAAATATTTAGTTCCAAAACTACCTAGTGAGTTTGCAAATTCAGAATAATTTGATTAATTACACACTCTACCTCTTGGTCCAGAATGGAATAGTTTAACAAGTCATTCAGCATTAACCTAGCCATAAATTATTACTAAGGCAGGTGTCCTAATCAATCCTGTCAAGATTCCCTAACAAGTAAACAAACTTATTTGATGTTGTATGCTTGTGTATATTAATTATATATAATAACCATTTTTATATAGATGTTTCTATATAAACTCATTATTATTAGATTTAAAATACATTATAATATTAAATAGAATTTAGTTAGAAGCAAATGATGAATGATAAATTTAATTTTAATTAAATGATTTGATTAATATATGATTAATCAATATTAAATTCTTTTTCAGACCTTTCCAAATAATCAAATTTTAAACTAAGTGATAAAGGAAAGATTAAAAAAAATATTAATATTTTTAATTCAATCTAACAATTAGTTTGTTTAAATTTTTAGTAATGATTAGATAGATACAATGATCATACTAAAAATTATAGTAAAAGATAGGTAGAAATTCTAAATGAATTAATATTATTATTAAATGTTATTGCCAAGAATAAGAATTTAATTTACACTATCAGAGAAAACAATTAAAATTTTAGATCTTTCTTTATTAGGGTTGGCTATCTTAACATGCTATAAATTATATAAATGTGATTCTAAAAGAAATGAAGAAAAATAAAAGTTGAAACGATTTAAATACCTATATACAGCAGATGAATGTCATTTACTAAAAATTGATTCAAAATAAATTACAGTCTAAGGTTAGATTAATAATGATAATTAATTCTTGCAACTTAAATCTTATCAAGAACAGAATAAGGGTTAAAATGTTTTAAGCAATATATATTCTAATGAGTCCATTTTAATTTTTGATGTAAATTTATATCAATTTTCTATTAGCCTTACACTAAAACAGAAATAATTGGAAAAATAACCAAGGATTGCTAATTTGACTTAGATCTCTTCAATTATCATAGGTAATGGAAATATTAAACCTGTGTCAATTCTGAGAGCAATTTTATTGTTAGATTATATCAGAAAATTAAAAATTACTTTTTTGGAAAGACATTAGTAGAGAATATCAATGGAATTGATTTAAATTAATACTTTATATTTAAAGGGATATTAAAGTAATAAGAATCTGAACTTATGCTTGAGATTGATCATATTGGTTTAACTCCAAACTTAATTTACTAGCAAATAAAAAAGTAATTAATATATATATACACTAATATAGAAATTTAAAAAAGTACAAAGTCTAAGAATTTATATTATCTATGATTTTAACATCACTTATGTATTATTTCTATAAAAAAATGAAAGAATTCATTTAAATTAAAGTACTAAAAAAAGAATTATTTTAAAACAAAATAGATGAAATTGCTGAAGATTCTGATCTTTGTATAACATGTATGACAAATGTTAGGAATATTTTGATATTGCCATGTTTTCATTTGATTTGTTGCAAAGAATGCTTAGATTAAATTGCATAAAGTCATTATCAATGTCCATTATGTAGAACATAAATTACTTAATTAAAATAAGTGTATATTGATAATATTTATTGAAAAAATAATGAATGATTAATTCACAATATGTAATAAATGCATGAAACAGATTTCTTAGGCAAATACAATGATGCATTAACTCTATTGCGAAAGAAATACATAAACATGTGAAACGTGTGGATAGTAATTTGATATTACTTAGGAAGAGGAACATATTCAAAGTGTTCACTTACCTAATACATGCAAATATTGTTTTTAATATATAAGTTATATATTTTATGTGATATATAGAGAATTTTAATATTCATACTTGTGCATAATAACCACATAATTGTGAATATTGTTAAAAACAATACTTGTTTAATTAAATTGAAGAACATAAAAAAAAGTGTGGTTAATTATAGTATAAATGTAAATACTGTGAGTAGATGATACTTAATAAAATGAAAGTTGAACATACAAAGAAATGTTAAATTGCCATATTAGGACATATTGAATTTATTTGTAAATATTGTGGAGAAAGTTTGATTTGTATAAATATTTATTATATAATTAGCTAATCAATTATTGATAGAACATGAATCAATTTGTTAATTTAAACCTTTTGAATGTCCTTATTGTTACTTTTATATTGAAGAAATAGATAAGGATGAACATTTATATTATTGTGGAAGTAGAACAGATTAATGTTCTTTTTGTAAAATGAAAGTGATTCTATCTTAAAAAGTAGAGCATCAATTAGATTGCATTAGAAAATGTCTTATGGCAAAGTGTAATATAAAGAAATAAGAGAATGTAGATAAAGTATAATTAAGTAAATAATACGATGAATTTGAAGAAGATTATGAAGCTTACATGTAATAAGTTGAAGATCAAGATAATGAAAACTATTAAGATTAATGATAATATAATTTGCTTCATAATTTAATTTTTATAATTAATATATGTTTCGAACAAGTCCATACTACACAAATGTTAGATAAGAGGTTTATACTGAAATCAATTATTAATTATCTAAAGAATTAGATTAGATGTAATAATAAAAAGATCACATTGGTAGTAATAGTAAGAAGAGTGCATCAAAATAGAATTTCAATAGTATATGTATAAATTATTTATCTTATTTAAATATAGTTTATAAAAGAACAAATGATCAGGAATAAATCCTAGAAGATTAAATTATAAAGAAATGTTCGAATTGTGAAATCAAAATTGTATCTGATGATATATATTGTTCAGAGTGTACTAAATTGATGTGTTAGAAATGCATTAATGAATGTAGTGTTTGTTTAAATAATTGCTGTTTGATTTGTAGCAAATATGCATATTTATAAAATGGTGATTTTGTAGTATGTTTATAATGTACTTAATAATAATGATTATTATTTAAAATATATGGAATTTTATGAAATAGTTAAATCTATTGGTTCTGGTTCTTTTGGATAAGTATATCTGGCTAGAAACAAAAGAGAGGATCGTCTTTATGTGATTAAGAGAATTAAAATTAGAGATATGACTTAAAAAGATAGAGAAAATACAGAAAATGAAGTTAGACTATTACAAAAATTAAGACATCCAAATATTGTAGCCTATAAAGACTCCTATTTAGATAGGGAATAGTATTTAAATATAGTTATGATACATTGTGAAGGTGGAGATATATATTAAAAGATTAGAAATAAAAAGAGTTTTCCAGAATCATAAATTCTTGATTGGTTTGCTTAAATGACATTAGCATTATGTTACTTACATGATTAGAAAATCTTACATAGAGATCTTAAAACTTAAAATATATTCCTCAAAAATGGAAGAGTACGATTAGGAGATTTTGGAATAGCAAAAGTACTTGATTCAACAAGAGATTTAGCAAACACTTGTATAGGCACACCATATTATATGAGTCCAGAACTATTTAAATATAAGCCATACTCATATAAAAGTGATGTTTGGGCATTAGGTTGTTGTCTCTATGAAATGTGTAATCTAAGACATGCATTTGATGCTTAATCTATGAATGGATTAGCACTTAAAATTTTAAAAGGATCTTATCCATCAATTAGTCAATCTTATTCTAAAGGATTAAGAGATTTGATTAATAAAATGTTAAACATCAATCCTAAAGCTAGACCAACTATTTAAGAGATTATTCATAAACCTATTATTAAATTGAGAATTATTTATTACATGTTGGAAGTATTTAGTGGTATTCATTATTATTATTCATTAAGAACCTTAATCTGATGATTTAGATGATATGTATGTAGATACTTTATATGAATAAGCATAATAAATTGGAGTACTACCACTTATTTAACATTATTAAAAGTAAATGTAATAAGGAGCTACTATTACAGATATAAAAAATGAATTAGAAAAAGGTGGTAAGGCAGAATAAAGAATGTTAATTTAAATTCAAGAATAGGAAGCATTAAAATTAAAATAGTTAAGAAAAGAATAATTTGAAAAAAAGAAATTAGAAGATGAAATTAAAAGACTTGAATAAAAATAATAATAAACGAATCTTACAAAAAATAATGATTCTCATCATAATTCAAAAGGAGCTACTTAAAATTTTCCTATTAAATCTGAATTAATTTAAAAAAATGAAATTTAAATTAAAACTGATTATTAAAGAATTCCTTAAAGAAAGGTTTCTTTGGAAAGAGATAGAAGACCCAATGATTTAAGGTAAAAATAAAAAGAAAGAAGTTTATCTTTTGAAAAAGATAAATTTAGAGATGATAGTACTTTAAGTGTTAAAGAAAAAATCATATAAAAAAAGGATAAATAATTAATTTAAAAAGAAAGTTTATAAAATAAAAAAATTGTTTAATAAGATAAAAAATAAATTTAAAATAGATAATCAAAAGAAAATTCATTAAAAGTTTAAGAAGAATATGATTTATCAGATGATAGTGAAGGAGTCAATGCTATCTAAGAGATTGAGAATGAAGATGAATATGAAGAGGATGGGGATGTAGATTAAAAATTAGATCTTATGAAAACTAAACTTAAAGAAAAGACAATTAAAATTTAACAAATTAATTAATCTTTGCATTAAAATAGATAAGTCTAGAATATGTAAATAAAAGCTCTAGAGAGTATTTTAATATAAAATTATTTAGCTGGTTAAGCTATACCTTAAGTAGAGGAAGAATTTGAGAATGAAGAAGTAGAAGATGAAGAACATGATGATGAATATGAATTATTGCAAGAAGATATCAAATCATCAAATTAAATAACTTCAAGAATTTAAGATAGAATTAAATTATTGAAACATAGGTGTGAAGGAGGATTAGGCTCTAATCTAACAGATAAAGCTTTAGCATTCATAAGAACTAAATGTATTTATATTATATATTAAGAATCTTCTAATTAAGAATTAAGGAAATAGTTAATAGTATTATTAGGAGAAGAAAATATAGGATATTGGTAACTATTTGATCAAATACTTTATATGGAAGATTTGATTGCAAAATATTGATTTTTTTTCTTTTTTTTTAAACTTATTTCTAACTAAACTAATCTAAAATAGTAATTAATAAATTTAAATAATGAGACTATCTTTATATAATTCCTTGATATAATTTAATATGTTAAATTAATGATTTTTAATAAAGATGGTTAAATTAAATTTACTTAACTGAAAGAATATAAATGAATAACAATCAGAAAAATTACTTAAACAAAATTGAATATTTCAAATTAATTATAGAAAAGGATTAGTTTCTTTTCTATTTGTGACTAATAAAATTAATAAAGTTTTTATATAATTGTAAAGTTTATAAGTTTTAATTTGACCAAAAATAGTATTTTTTAATTAATTCAACATTAATTAATCATTATAATTATCAAAAATAATAACTCATATTCATATTATAAATTTAATCAGTCATTCTCTTTAAATCATTAAAACCAATTGAACAACGAAAAAATTGCATTATTATTTTGAAACAATATTTATAAAATTAATCATAAAGATTTAATATTACAAAAATAATCAAGCAATTCAGAGTAACGTAGTATTTCTATTTATTTGCAGAAAGAAAAATTAATTAAATTTAAGTATTCCATCTGTCTTGGCAGTAAGGCAATTTCACAAGATTTCAGAATGGCTTCAAAATCAGCTAAACTACATTCTTTTACTTTTTAATTGTTGTTTTTAACATTACACTATTGCTAAAGAGAATCAAGAATTTTGTATTAAAATCTTAAAAATATCTCCTTGAGTTATTACTCAATATTCTATTTTTCCTGTATTGAAAATAATTGATATTTTCCCAATAGTTATTTAAATACACTCTTTATTATAGTTATTGAATTAGAATTCATAAGATTATGCAAAACATAGTCTTATGTATTATCTTCAATTAGATATCTAGCCACAAGTAGTCTTTCTTTTTCATCAACCATCATAAAGGGTTCTGCACTAAGTAATAGGATTATTTCCTCAACTGTAATATCTTAGCATTCTTAATCAGTACAATCAAATATTTAATCTAAATAATTAAGAGGAATTAGTTTTGTTTATAATTCAAATTTAAGTTTTCTTCCAATTATTTAAACTTCATAAGTATTTATTTTTGGTAATTTCTTTGTTCTATATTCATTTTCAACAATAGAATCATCTTAATCAAAATTTCTTGAATATGGTTCTTCATCAATTTAACTATTTAATTCTAAATATTAAGATTTTTGCAAATCTGAACCATTTTATTTTCTTCTCACACTAATTTATTTAATCAAACTAAGTTGAGGAGGTATATCTATTAAAATATCTTCATAAATTGAATATTCAGATTTAATATGCTATATACATTATTAATATTTTATATCTAAGGTTTATTGTTCAGGTTTGGATACTTCTTTGATAATAATTTTTTATTTTTCATATGCTTAAATTTAATCTTCTTTATCCATAATAATTGATAGTAAATGTTGTATATACTTTTCTTTTTAATTATATTATTTAGTCATTTAATTTTATAGATATGTAATTTTAGCTTTTAATTAAGATATTTCTAAATCTTCTAGCAATAATTCATTTCTATTAAATAATTTAGTTTAGTTTGGTGTATTATTTTAATTTAAAATCTATAAAACCTTCCTATTTTCCCTTTATAAATTTTTATTTTCTAATTCTAATTACTCAATTTGATTTTTATACTTTTATTATTCATCTTGCAATTTATGGATTACAGAATCCTATGTTTTATTAACATTTTCTAAGTTTTTAATTTAGTTTTCTAAATTTTCATATAATTCAAATAGATCTATTCCATTATTCTTATAATTCAACAATTTATTTAATTTTGTAAATTGTTTCATCAATTTTTAAGATTCCTATTAAAATGCAAGAGCTTCAATCTATAATAAAGACTTAAATTACTTAAAGTTCTTGGAATTTAGTTAGACTCATTTATTTTTTTTAATCTTCAATAGTTTTACTTTTTTGTAATAAATCTAATTCTAATTATTTAATATAGATTTATAATTTTTTAACATTCTATTTTTATTAAGCATTATCAATATTCAAGCCTATTTTAGGCTATCAAATTAAAGAATTAAGTTTACTTAACATTAATTTAATTTAATTTTATACATTTTTATTTCTTCTTCTTTTTGATGAATCTAAAACTGTAATTATGTATTCTCAAATAATAAACGTTCTTCTTCACTTATTTTTGAAGAAGAATAAATAGTATTTGATAATTTAATAGAATGACTACGACATTTAGGAGTGTCAATACTTAAATTAAGTAACTTTAATGGACGACGAATATTGAACATTATTTTAATATACAAATTTAATTATTAATATATGCATTCATCAATTTAATCTGATTTCATAATAACCACTCTTTGCAATATTCCTAGCTTTTTTAGTTAACACTTTAGCTCCATTTCTAACTTCAACTTTATCAATTTTAGTTTATGATGGACTAAATGTATTGACAACAAATTTCAATTAAACCAAGAAGTTACCCTATTGTATAATATTAAATTGATCTTCAGTTGATGTAAAGGTGACAGCCAATCTAATGGAAGAATCAATTTCTAATTTACCAATTCTCCAAAGAATTGCCTAATAATTATATGATAGAATATGTACATTTTCTAATTGTTGTAATGTTCCTTAAGCCATTTCTGTTTCTCCTAGAGTTAAACCTGTTGGTACTGTTAATTTAGTATGAAATTCATCTACTACATATGATTAACCTCTAACTGGTCTATTTTTAAGTAGGAATTCAATTTTAACTTAGTTATTTATGAATTAGAGTTTTGGAATGAATTCAAAAGGAGGTCTAATTGATATACCTTTAATGTTATAATAAAAAATAGTTGTAGTTCCAGATGGTGGAACAAATGCTAAGACTCTTTCTCTTTCATAAGTATCTATTTTTTAGAGTAAACATTCATGAACTGTATAATCATTAAATTGATTGGTTTAATTGAGGAATACAAATAATTCAGGAACTCCTGATAGATTACAATCTACTTTGATTTCTCCATTGATCTCTTCAATTAAAATTCTTCCATTCTTATCAAATACACAATCTAAGAATTCAATCACATCAAAATAAACTTCTTCTTCTCCCTTAATCTCAGGAAGTCGATATTGACTATGTTCTCTTACATCAGCTTGACCATCTATGTATTTCTCCAATAAGGACACAGTTTCCTTTTATACATTTTGTCTGCCTATAATTTTTTCTTCTATTTTTTCAATAATTCCTCCTGGTTTTACAATACTTTCAAGCACGTGCTTTTATGTAATTTAGGGATAACCATAATCAAATATAGAATCAAGCATGATGCCTATTGAATGCAAATTCTACTTGAGCTTCTCAGAGGATTCATTAGGAAAAGAAGCCTTAAGGACATCAAGAATGAGAAAGAGTGTTGCAAATAATTGTAATACAGGAATCTCTTCTGTTACTATTGCACCTATAATAATATCTGAGAAGGTAACAAATGGGTATAGGGCATCCTTAATTCTAATAATTGGATATTCCTTATCCTAAACAATACTCAACATCACAAAATTACAGCATTGGTCCCTCTGAAGAATTACACAAATTAAGTGTAAAATTCAGGTAAAGTGTCTTTGCGCTTGAGACCCTTAAATATTCTATGAGCCAATATTTCACTAAGTATATCATAGATGTATACCCATTTTGAGAAAGTATAAAAATTGTATCAATAGACATTTGTAATATAAACTTATTTATTATTAATTATTAATATAGATGAAATTGAAATTATTTATATAAAAAAATTTATTTATTAAATTAAAATGGATAACGAAAAAATTATCAGATGGATATGTCCAGATCCTAATTGTAATTTGGGAAGAGTTGTAGATACTGTTCCTGAATTATTATTACATTCAAAATAACAACATAAATTAATTAAGTTTGATAAATTTAGAGAAATGATTATTAGTGTTTTTGATGATAGTAATCTCTCTCGTTTATAAAATGAATAACATTATCTAGGCATCATAAACAATATTTAAAATCTTATCACTTTTCTAAAAGAATCATTGCAAAATTTTGAAAAGACTTTTAAATAGTAAATTTTGTACACCTAAAAATTCTAGAAAATTAGATGATTTCTATGAACAAATACATCCTCGTAAAATGTTTATTGAAGTCACTTAAGCTATCATGAAACAGGAAGATATAGATAAAGAAATATTGACTATATATTTGGATAATTACATTAAGAAATTTGATATTAGTTAGAAAACTTAAGAAAAACTTGATAAATTATAAAGTTAAATAGATAACTTTTGTTAATCACAATAATCAGATTTAATAAGTTTATTTGAAAGACAATTATAGATTCGTGAAACAGCTAATGTTGTCAAAGTATAACAAGAAATAATTCCTCTAGAATAAATTTAATAATAAATTTATTAATTTGATATCAATAAATCAAGCAAAGAAATCATATTTACAAATAATTTGAAAACTGCAAAAGCAAAAGATACTAAATGTTTTGTTTACTTTAAAGGTGTTGAAGAATAAAAAAAAGTCTTTATGTAAGTTGAATTGACAGTATTAAATGATGATGATTATATCTTCAATATAGGTGTTGTTAATGCAAATCATAATTTAAATGATTATGAAGGTTGCTTCCTATTAACATAAACAGGAACTTTTCTTTTAGAAAGAGAAACTTTATAATCTAAACTTAAAGTAAAGAATGGTTCAAAAATTAAAGTAAGGTATGCTAAAAAACATCCTAAAAAATTATTCTTCTAGGTTGATAATAATTTAAATGTAAAATTATACTATATAATATTTAGGATAAAATTTAGTTGAATAATGAACTCCATGTATTTTACTTCATAATTATTATTAAAAATGCTGAGGTTTAATTATAATTAAAGTGATATAATACATAATTATTTATAATAGGAAATAAAATTTAATAATATCTCATATTATTAATTATTTTTATTTATAAATATTCTTTATATATATATATATATTTATATATAAAATCAATAGAATAGTATCATATACAATATTTTATATATATGGACTAAAGTTACTGAATCTTGTCAAAAAAAGAATGATATCAAATTTTAAAGATAGTTTATTTGAGACTAAAGTTCTGATTAGAAATTCAAAAAAGTTAAAAAACCGAAAATGGAGTAGAAAAAGAAGATTAAAAAGCTTGACTATTTTATAATTTAAAACAATTTTAAAACAGCATCATTAAAACTCCTTAAATGCAGATTCAAAAATATCATCTTGATAAATATATCTCAATGATCCTTAACAAAAGAGCCTATTTGAATTAAGGTACCTCCAATTCGAATATTTTAAACTATACTTAAAATTCTAAAACTAATGATCAAAACATAGCAATATCTATATATTTAGAACATGTTACAGATCATAGAAAGATATTAGCCGAACAATGGATTCTATGTCTTAAAAATTATTAAGTCACGAATTAGCAATGCGGTAAATTTTGTCAATTAGAAAATTTTTCACTTTGTTGTTTGCTTACAAAGAGTCCATTATATTAGAATTTTATTGTTAAATAATCAAGTTTGAAAAATTACTAACTTTAAATTATAATTGATCACAATGGGAAAAACTAGAATTTAGAATTATATAAATGTTATCATTTAAACATGCAACAGAATCTTGGAATAATAGCTAGGTTTCATTAACATCTTAACTTGACTTAAGAGATAAATAAATAGCGATCCTTATCATTTTAAGAGTAAACAGTGATACCTAAACAAAATAACAAACTAACAAGATTTAATTCAGAATAAATATAAACTCCAGAAAAAAAAGTATTTATGTACTTTTTTGAAGAAGATGTAACATTTTTGATAGATGAAACTCAAGTTGAAAGAGTTATGAGTTAAAATTCAGATTCAGATTTTATGATACAAACTATTGATGATGAAACTGATGTAACTGAATGGTAAGTTATAGATCATAAATAATTATTGAGTAAAAATTAAAAGAAAATGCTTGATGATTTGAAATAGATTAGAGATCACTTTAATTTTAAATCTAAGCATTCTCATTAAATATAGATGACAATAGGATTCATCTAATAATGAAAGAGCTTGATTGCTTAATATTTATAATCATAATAACTAATATAATATACTAAATAATTAATATTATTTAGTATATTAGGTTATTATTAATTTATTCATTTTATTTATATGTATTTTTGTCAAATTTATAATTTTATCTATTTAAATATCTTTTCAAAAGCAAACAAAAAGAACAATATGTTAGTTTGGTTTAATTTATTTTTTAATGATTGTTAATTAAATTGATTTATCAGAATTTCAATCCTACTTATAAAAATTCGTTTTTGGTTTTTCATATATCTACAAATAATACTTTTTTTCTTTTATTAAATGGTCAAATCAAGAGGAAGGATGTAAATTAAGTGTTTGGATAGTTGAAGTACTTTAAAAATAGTATATTAAGTATCATTAATTAATGGTTGATAATGGGAAAAATTCGTTTTTATGTGATTGATAATAAAATAAATGAAATCTATTATTCTGATTGCCCTCATTGCTGTGGCCTTCACAGCTAGAGTCTAAGAGAGAAACATGGCCAAAGTTTAAGCTGATTTGGCTAAAAGCAATTACGGAAAGGCTTTGTTACATTTGGTTGAGTTACATTCAATGGCTGGAGGACCAGTTTAAGAATTGATTGATGCTATTGAAGAACTCATCAATGATTTAGAAGAAGAGTTAGAAGAATTAGAATACAATTTCTAAATAAGAACAAACGAACACAATGCCTTAGTTGTTTCATTAGAATAAGATATCTAAGATGCTGTCATTGGTAATATATAATATATATGAATATTTTAGATGTTAACAATACATAAGATACTTTAGATAATCTTTTATATCCAAGAAGAGCTTAAATTTAAGATAAAATTGACTCTGTTATTGGTTATCAAGAAGACAACAGAAAGAATTATGAAGAGGCTGTCTTAGTTAGAGAATAAGAACATGAAGCCTTTGAAGCATAAGTTGCTGAATTGAATGATGCTACAGCTTCAGTTGATGATGCATTGGCTCTCCTTGCATCACTTACAAATCCATCATTATTGTAAATCAGAAGATTCTAAAATACACTTAAAAATATTGAAAATAAAATTAGATCAAGATCCAGAATGGCTCCAATGATTAAGGCTTTGATTAGTTTAGCATCAAATCAAAACTTCTCCAATTAAGATGTATTGAAGAACATTGTTGATGCTCTTAATGATTTCAGAAATGCTGTTGTTGATTAAATTAATGATTTGACAGCATAAGAAGCCTAAGATGTAATTGATCATGAAGCTTATCTTGAATAATTAGATGATGAACATCGTGAATTCTAAAGATAAATTGATAGAGCAACAGTAGATTTGACTGCTACTAATGGTAAATACATTTAATTTATTTTTCTATAGAAAAAATTGATTCAATGGTTGAATTCAGAGATTAAAGAGCTGCTGATTAAAAATAATACACAGCTGAATTAGAATTAGAAAATAATACCTATGCTGAAGAAACTGATATTTACACCAATACCAAGAACGAATTCACCAGAGAATTAGGAGTAAGTGAGTAAGCTTTGGCACTTGTAAAGAGTGTTGACTTCTCAAACATCAAAGTTTGATAATCATCCATCATATAATAAATATCATAAATTTTAATAGCTAAATATATATATATATCTATTCATATAAAGGCTTTGCTAAGATGAACAGATTAAATCTTGATGGGTTAGATATTATTGATATGCATGTAGTCCATAAATTATTTAGGCAAATGATCAAGAACAGCTGAACTCATTTATTCAATGTCATTTTTATAATCTTGGAATGATACAAATTGAATGATATCTCTAACATTCATATCAGATTTCGAGTGTTTTTTAAGGAACATAGGATCATCAAACTATTTCATGTATTTGAAATTCTCATCTCCTACTCCAATTATAATTATTGACATAGGAAGAGATTAGCATTCAAGTAGTACTTTTATGGCATCATCTCTAAAGACTTTATGAATTTATATTACTGATCTTCTATTTAACCATCAGTTAAAATCATGGCTACTGTGTATGTATTTTTTTAAGCATTATCCTTTGCAAATTACAGAGCTTTATTTAGAACATTTGCAATAAAGGTTGGACCTGAAAATACTATATTTGGAACTGCTTCAATATAGGCTTATAGAATTCCTTCCATATCATTACAAAAAGGTTTATCTTTATTTCCATTCAAAGGGAAACAATCATCCATTGTAGATTTTGTATATGTTGGCAATTTAGGTGTTCCTCCAAATCCATATACAGGCACTTATTTATCATAATCAAATGCAATAATTCCACCTCCAATATCTTTTATTGCTTATTAATAATAATTTAATTTATGTGGATCTATTTTATGCAAAGAATCAGGTTTGGTAATGGGTTAATTTGAAAAAGTAAAGTCAATTCCTAATATCATTAATTTAATTGAATACCAATTGATAATGACATTTACCATCCACCCATTAAATAATCTAAAAAAGTAGGTTCTTTTGGTTCTTCTTAAACAATTTCTTTTTTTTCCTCATTAGGTTCTACAATGATTAATTCTAATAATTTCAATGTGCCAGCATTTTTTCCTTTAGGAGTCAATAAAGGAAATTCAGTTCTTTTGTTTATTTTGATTTCGTCATAATTAATTGTTACATGTCCAATCTATATTTATATTTGATCATACCTCTTCAGATCCCATTTTATCATAATCCATGACTTCTACATATAGATTTTTAGAATATTTGATGAGTTCATTCTCTGTTGTTTCCCAACACATCCAATTTGGATTTAAATTATTTTTAATTACTTCAGTTTTATGAATCAGTTCTGTTTATTATCCATTAATCCTATAAAACTTAGCAAATGGATCTGATTTGGTGAAGAAGTCAAGATCAAGTAATTTAACACCTATATTAATTTAGATTATTTAAATACCTCCCCAACGCCATTTAATTTCTGTTACTTTATGTCCTTATTCTTTTTAACCTATAATTTAAGGTCCTTTTCTGGCTACATGAATTATGATATTGCCTACAATTTAATCTCCTTTCATCAAATTCAATTGACTTAAGGAATTCCTTGCTCCCATTAATTTAGCCAATGGTTATTTGCAAATACCCACAATAGAAGTAGAAGTATTCTAACTCACAAGTTGGCTTGCTAATTCTTAATCTGCATCAATCATTTAGAAGACAAGTTTTTATCTCTTATTAAACTTATACATGATAGGAATGGGTTATTTGAAGTCAGGATCAAGTGTAGAACGAGAGACTTCAGTTTCTCCTATGAAATCGTCCTTTGAATAGACTCTACATCTGAAATCTTGGATGTTGGAATTACCCAAATTTTATAATCGTCTTGCTGAAATGTATAGATAGACCAGTTCTCCAGGGGATTGGTGAATGAGAATATCCATGTTATTTTTATTATTATCGAGGTTATAATTGAAATTAGGATTAGTATTACAAAATAATAATATTTCATTTTAGATACGTAACATTGAAAATAATAACTATTATGAATTACAAATGAGATGGCAACAATCTTAAAAGATAATCATTAAAAAATATAAACACACATGTTAACATTTCAAATACATTATCAACTTCGATTTGGTGATGCAATTTATATCTCTGGTGATTCTGACTACTATGGTAATTGGTCTCTGCATCATGCTAAACGAATGAAATGGAATCAAGTACGTCAAATCTCATATATAGGGACACATTTGGACTATCGATATCCCCATTCATGATTTCCAATACAAATACTTTGTCTCATCTTTTAATTAGCCAAGCAATGTAGAATGGGAATTTGGCCCCAATCGTCTTATGAGAACAACAGAACCTTCATGTAAATCCTTTATTTAATCTTAAAAGGTATAGTTGATGTATGGAATCATAGAAAAGTGATGTTCCAGTGCTATAATCCTTAACAATATCCAATGTTTATTTCTGGATCATCTTTGGATCTTGGTAAGAATACTAGACGAGTTAATATGAAACAAAAATAAGATATATCTTATAAAAAAATACTTGCCAATGTTATTGAAGATAAAGTAATACATTATCAATTCCATTTGAAAACTCAAAAATATTACTCTAGTTCTATGTTGAGTTTATATCTTGATACTTCAATCTCATAAAACCATAATCTTGACTTTTCATATAAGAACTATATAATAGCTTTTTGTACAGGAATGGAAAAGATTAAAAGATCAATCTATTAATTAGATAATAATATATGTTACGGTTATGTTCCTAACGATGAAACTGATTTTAATTTGTTAAAGGATGCTAATCTTCATACAATTGTAGAGTTCTCAAATTAGGCTGAATAGCCAACCCATTCTGTTAAATTAGGAGAGTTCAATTATCTCACTGTCAATTTTCGATCCAATATGAATGAAAACTGTATCTCTAAACTTTGTTCCTTAATTCAATTATTAATTTCTAAATATCATGTAAATGTCAAATTAATTAATAGGTTATCTATGTATGTAACAATTCATTATCTCATGTTAGAAAATATCTTTAAGTATACAAAAGTCAAAGAATATCTAAATGAAAGGAACCACTTCTAGTTAATGTTTATAAAAAGTGAGTTTTTTTTAAAATTAATATTTATAATATATTATTAGTTAATAATACTTATTTAATCAGTGCATGGTCATTTTAATATAAAAGTTAGAATACATAATTATAATAAAGAATAGTATGATAATAATAATTATGAAATTATATGATATCATAAAAATATATATTAAATCCTATATATAAATTGATCTGAAGATATTTTTTAATTATTTATTAGTATGTTAGAGGAACAAGGAGAACAACAGAAAATTTAGAATAAATATTTAAAAAAACTTTTGAATATAAATTGTTATTCATGATATAGGTCAATTAATAGAATAGGATGGAAAATGAAAGTTTATTTAAGGTTTGAATACAAAAAGCAAATAAAAAGTAATTTATTAAATTATCTTTGAGATTAAGTTCATTTTATGATAAAA